AGCAACTAGAATTGAGATTTAGATGTGTCGCCCTCCTCGTGATAGACCCTTTTCTCGTGTTGCGCGAGAAAATCGCGTCACTTTTCAAATAGACCAATCTATATTTATCGATTCTCTTCATAGACTCTCTCTCTTTCGTTAATAACTCGCCTCCAAAAACATGTTCAGCTGTTCTTATCGTCCAATGCGCTTAATAATACTTTCTTTTAACAGACTATGTAGAAAAATTATACCGAAATATGAATGCAGCCAAGTTATTAACGAAAGAAAGAGCCGATTCAGAAAATCGATCAATAAAGTGACGCGAGAAATATACTATATTAACAATATAGTTCACTCTTTTGTTTTTTTTTTCGGAAGCACGGTTTGCGGCGAACAACCACGCCTTTGTGTCAGAAAAGGCAGCTAATGTATTATGAAAACATTACAAGAGATGCTTCAAAACTACAACAATGTAAGAATATTATGGCCTTGACCTATCTTCTGCAATTTTAAGAGAATTTTGTCCTCTTTATTTAATGTATAACATGAGTTTAGAGTCATCAAATTGTAAAGTAATCAAACCATATGATTCCACTTACCCCATAACAAAGACATCATATCAAGAAGACTGGCAACTTTGCCATAATCCAAGCGACAGATACAGTAGTGCTACGCTTGAGTGAAGGTGGAAGCAACGTATAGAAAAATGAGCAAATACACAAACATTTCTTCTGAGGATGTAATCTTTGTTATGACATTATTTCAAAGTATTTACCTTCGAGTGGCAGATGTCGCGATGATACCTGTCTCATAGTGTTCGTATGAGAAAATGGAAGAGTTTCCAGTCTTCTTGATATGATGTCTCCACCCATAACCAGGGGAAAGTGAGAAAATCCACTATTTTTCACAATGCGTGCCAAATTCTTATAATTTTGCGTTCTTTTAATTGTTTGGAACTGCCTTCTTTTTGGGTCATACAATCGAGTTTAACTATACCTCAAAATTTAAATTTGATGAACACCATTTGGGAGTAGCTGGCTTTGATGATGATGATGAGACGTCACTTAAGGCGTGATCAGAGATGTTATGCCTCAGAACATCCCGGTGGCTTCGACTGGGATTGAACCCAGGCCTGCTGGGGTGAGAGGTAATCACGCTTACCACGCGCCGCTATCAAAGCATGTTCTTATCTGTTGCATTTCTGTTAAACCTAGTCTCAATGTCATCAATTTTAAAATCTAATTTTGGAACGTTCGCCTATTGGTGGAGATTTGAAATTCTTGTGTCAAAGGATCAAGGATCATTCTCAGCACTCTATTCTGAGCGACCTGGATTTTGTTCCTGAGAATCTGTGCACATGATTCCCACACCGGAGGATCGCAGGTGCTATGATTTGTTTGTAGACAGCCAGTTTGATCACCCTTGAGAGGTGGAATCTGCGGCAAATCAGCGGATACAGACACCTAACCAAGGCGGTACACTTGACTACGGCTTTCTCTACATGCGAGCGGAATTGGAGCTTTTCGTCAAACAACATCCCGAGATACACACTAAGTCATGTGAATTTCAGTTGTCTGAGACCGACACATGTAAGCGGCCCTTTTGACATAACAATAAGTTGAAATAAACGAAAACATCATATCAACCAAACGTTCATAAAAGCCATAAATGTGGTTACTCTTTTTATCTGTAGTCAAGTATTGTCATCTCATAGAAATGAACCATTCATTTTCTTAACTCATCATCATCAGGCTTAGTGATAAAAGCATGAAAACCAGCTCAGTTTTGATGCCTTCAATTGTAATAAAACATACTATGGCAATACAAGTATGTTAACAAACTATAGTCATGGAGGCTCGAGCACTCCTGGCTAAGAACTTTTATGGGAATCAACTGAAGATCAAAACAATTTTATTCAAAATAAAATCGATAGACGCCGCGGTACCTAGGCCCCTACCAAAGCATGTATTGCACCATGCAAGGTAAAATCGTAAACATGAACCGGTCTAATAGTCGCTACTATGCCCATAATTGAACAAGAAATCAAGTTGTGATTAGAGAAAAGCTTCATCGGTATCAACTTGAGAGTAGTCTTGCATACGATGAGCCAAAGCTTCCCTTGTTGAATTATGCGATATTGTATGCAACACAAAAGCTATACGCCTTACATGGGCCAACTGAATTCGAAACATAAGACCATATGAGGCGAGATGGGCCACCGTTCGTTTGGACATAATTCCTATTAACTCAATCTAATTTTTTTTACAAACTTGTTGAAAATGCTTCTAATATGCATCTCCATGAAAACCGTATCAAAGATAATAATAGAAATGTAACATTAGCTCAAAATCTCTAGAATATTATAAGATATGCAGTCAAGAAAACAAGCATTGCATTTACTATATTACATTTTACTTATCCGCTAGTTCTACAGCGAGTAATACACGTTACTATTGCTAAAAGAACTTATGTTTCTATTTCACATGATTCCTAAATCTTATTTTCTAGTGAAAACCTGTCAAAACGTTATCTTTTACTTTGGTGCTCATATTGCCCCGTATAGTTGTTGATCGGAGCAAAAACTGGAATTTTTTAAACATAATAATTTATTGAGTCTATCATATTTTATCCATATTTTGAACATTGTATATTATCAAACATATTCCAAAGCATGACCATGATCACAGCTAAAGTAATGTTTTTCATGTGTTATGATGTGTTTTTCTTATGGGGACCATATTGCCCCTATCTACCCTATGTAAAAACATACGTAGGATATTAAAAATTATTTCGATTTGATAGTATACAATCAAGGCATTTTGAAATATTTATTATTGGTTGAAACTTACTACAAATATTGAATTTATATTATTTAATCATTAATATCGGCCGGTTATATCAATGTTTGTACGACGCAATCTATACCCGCTCGACAACCTTGATAACTATCAATTGAATTGAATGATTCATTCACTGAGCGACCAGTTCCGAAATAATCTTCGTCACACCTGTTTATCACTTTATAAATAAAATAAATACAGCTACGTGTACCTGTACGTTATAGCGTGACTCGCGCTGACTGTATACTTGTTTACTTTTGTTATGCTTAATTGGGTCCAGAGGTACTAAAAAATCTATTAACATAATTTCACCTTGACCACTGCTCCACTAGGCTAGAAGAACGGAAAAGAGTAGCGAAAGATGCCTCTCCCTCTCAACAAGTGGCTTTAAAATGGGTAAACTTCACCTCGTTTTATGCCCAACAGAAAAACCAACTCTTGAAGTAAATACTTACGTACTTATAAATATCAATTTCACTAGTTCCCACGCAAGAAAACTAATCATAGTAGCCGAGAGAAAAGAAACTCTTTATTCGAAAACCCAAATATAATTTACCAACTCAGTCACTATAACCACAGTAGGTGCATTAGCAGATTATTAACAATGCTTTTTTATCATTCACAGATGCATTGCCATATTAGTAAAATGCGTTTTGATGTTTCGGGTCTTCTCTTACCTAGTCTGCCTGAATATGGAAATATTTACGCTTGCTCAAATCAACACGCTACAGATCAACACGAGCGAGCGTTTTTCAAACTTCCGAATGAGTGCGCAAACCAGAGTGAAGAGAAGCAAACAAACTTCAATCGCATTTGATGAGGGGAGGTGCCTTTTGTTTTGCAAGTAAGAAAACTAAATGTAAATAGTCTTTAAATAACATTATGTAAAAAAATAAGAACAAGAAATGTTTTTTTTTGAGAATGAAGAGGGATAGCAAAGTAATGGATATCCTGGGGGTGCGACACATCTAAATCTCAATTTCAGATGGTCGGAAAATCTCACGCTAGCGAATCAATCTACGAAAAATCTTTTTTCATCTCTTGCATCACAATCCATCTACTCGCATCGCTCTCCACCTTCAAAATCTTCTTTCTATCACGTTATCGACGGTTATCAATTTACATCCCTGTCCTGGGTACCCTTGTGGAAGTGTCCAAACCCATAATGCAACAAGTCAAATCTAATTTATCTGTTCACCATCTTAAGCAGAGTAGCCACACAGACTGTTTAAAAATACTCAATTCAATTCTTCAAAATTAGTTAGAGGGAACGAATAAACCTAGGTATACATAGAAAAATGAATTTGCAACTTTAAGGCAAATGCGGGACCATCTATAAACGAAGTAGCACAGCTTACCATTCCCTGACCCGCAAAATGGCTACCGTTTAAACGTGCCGACTCGGAGGACATTTTAGTCGGGGAATCTTACAGGGTACTGGTCAATAGTTACAATTTATTCCTTTGACATAAAATCAATTTCCAAACGGGCGATATTTTCAAGGATTTTCAAGGACATAGCAAACCCTCACTACGATGCTGGGTGACTATTCTGCGAGTTACGTGACTCTCTGTCACCGGTGAGGTGACAATTGTCACGTCGTGTGAGGTGACTCTCCGTGCAATTCAAATAGAGAGTCATTTCAAACGAGATGACAATTGTCACCTCACCGGTGACAGAGAGTCAAGCGACTCGCAGAATAAGGGGGTCTTTGCGGAGGTGAGACTGACTCGAACCGTGGATTCTACGCAGTGCCGATTCCTGGCAGTTTGCCGGAAGAATGGAATATTCCTTCCCTAATAAAACATATACCATAAACGAACGATAATCCAAATGATTGAACTATTCCACAAATGGTTTGGATAATAGCCCGAACACGTCGTTAGGCAAATTAACCATAACATTTTTATTAAGGTTTGCTTTTGTCAAGATGCTCTGAAATAGTGATGGTATGAAAATAACTCAACGACTAAGGTTCCCTCGCAGCTAAATCGTGGATAGCAACTAAACGAAAACAATAAAGTTCCACTATTGCATTGCAGTGTCCGACACTCTTCGTCAGCAGACGTGCGCTTCCACAATTTACCTGTCGGAGCTATGTTCTCACTCTCACTCAATGGGAGTATCATCCACCCAACCAGCAGCGATGACTGTTGAGCTCGAGGAGTAACATTTTTCAGTTCACTATTAGATACCGACCGGTAATGTTGTTAGTTCGCCGTGCCGCGCAACGCGTATATTTTTTCAAACATATAAAATATGTTGAGTGGTAGCAGGCCGCATACGCGTATCTATGACAACGGTCTATTACTAGTACAGCTCACAACATTGGCCTTCTTCGTCACCAGCTCTGTCCTGCCTACTGTGTTGGGTCAGACTTTCGTCAGACGTAAGTGTTCAAGCGTGAAAACGGAAACGACTCATGGACTACTATTTTGGTCGACCGGGGTCGCTTAATTATTCAAATGACCAATCTGAATTTCACGACAAAACAATCATCAGCAATGCCAACAAAAAACAATTGGCAAACCGTTCTACAAATTGATGTGAATCACTTTATTCAGTGATGCTGATGCTCCGCAGAACCGCATAGTGAACAGAGGAACAGAAGAAAAAACAGTGCATTTCATCATGTTCGACAATTTGAGAGCAATGCGCTGGTTTGTTGCGCATTGGCATTTGCCGTTAGTGGTCAATTTTTCTGATGACGTTGTTGTTAAACGATACAATCACCGGTGTTTCGTAGTGCTATCAGTTCTAAACTTTACCTGTACCTACCTATGTGAACGGTCTTCGGTTGATTCCCTTGAAATAAGCGGTGCTTGGAAACGAACATGGGAAAATAAAATTAAACCGATTTTTGGTTGGCCTACTTCGATTCGCCCGCTCACACGCTATAACATAACGTTGTGCCGAGCATGGAGCACCCTACTTGTAGTTGTTTGGAGTCTGGTTAGAGTAAATAACAAAGAAGAGCGAAAGTAAAACATTTAGGAAATCGATACTTGACGAAAATTCACATTATAGTACAAACGGAAGAAAAAGCTTTTCGTAATAGATATTCCACGTCGAAACTGCAACTCTCAACAGCGAATAAAAGCATATACATACACCCAATCAGCATTGTTAGTAGGTATCATTTAAGCGCGTGAGAATGGTGCGCCACGGTGCGAGATGATGACCGTCGACAATATCCGAGTAGACAATTGATTTCCGACATCGCACATCACATCGAAGGCGAATTAACATTCTTTCAGAATTTGAGTTATTCTGGTGTACATACAATATGCTGCATAAGCGCATAAATGGGCTTACGTAACGGGCAGTGAACGATCAGAAGTAGCGTATTCTATTCTGACGAAATATATTTACTAGCACGCGTGTTAGTTAGTTAGCATTATCACACGCTTTTAATGTAAACGTGTGTTGATACTAGCAAATTATGCATATAGTCACTCGTTGTTTTAGGTTTCATTTCTGTTTCGTTGATTTATGGCTAGCAAATTTAAAACTGGATAGTAACTTATTCAATAAACGCTACCTTTTGAGTCCGAATTTTTTTCTGAATGTTGTTTATTGAAAGATATCAAAGTCTGAGAATGTTGTTGTGTTGTTACAAATTTTCCAGGTCGGAGATTTTATGCAAAAACATCTACGTTAGCTATTGAGTAATGGAAACATTTATATGTTTGTATGTTTATCGGTATGTTCCCCGATAAGTCTAAAATTTGGTGATCCACAAGTGCCAAAGGTACTAAAGCATGGTCTAAGGACTGTTCGAGTAATAAAACGGACACACACTTTTAGACTCAACTTTTTTTTTTTAATTTTACTACTTAGCTTAAGCTTTCTTTGGCAAGTTTTAAGCTCTATTTATAAGGAACATTGAAGTAATAATAAACATTATATTTGAAGCAACATGTCAATAGTCAAAACCTAATTCCAAATCGGGTCCTGAACATTGTCCTGAATTTGAGGTAATTTGGTGGCGAACTCAGAAAATTGCTACACTGAGAAAATTGCTCATATTTAATTTATGTGACACACACATACATTTGTGCAATGTGATTTCCGAAATAATATTTATGTGTTAAACACATAATTAGATTCATTCGCCATTCAATACGCTTTATGTGAGGTCGCACATGAACATTAAGCTAGAGACAAATGAATTTAATCTACCAATTTTTAAGTTTTTATTGAATACTTATATTAAGTAAAAAATATTCGGAATATAATAAAATAGATTTACTATATAGTTCACCGATGCAGAATCATTTTAATAAACACTACGAAATTGTAATGCAATGCACTCGAGCTCATTGAAGCGGATCTGGAAGTCTAGCTTCATGTAATCGTCCATGATAAAAAAAAGTCACGATTTTTTCTGCTGTACACCAGATCAACGGAGGAGTTTTAAGAACATTATATAGACGACTGCACCGATCGATTTGAGTTCATGCACTGATGGAAATTTGACAGGGGAGCGGGGCAATGTTCATTAACAATGAACATTTAGTGCTCATTTTTAGTAAACATTCCTCCGCTCTCCTATCAAATTTTCGTCAGTGCATGAACTCAAATTCATCGATGCACTCGTCCATGGGCTGCTTTTGCGGTACCATGAATCGATGAGTTCCAAAGCAACCAGTTTGGTTAGAGCGATTCCACTCTTTGGATGGTAGCACCTAGCACATAGCTTCATATCGACGGTTACTGAAATTAAAATTCAAGTCAAAATCATAATCATACACAATTTTTCTTCAAAACATACCTTAGTTTTTTTTTTCACAATTTTTACATACTGCTTTTCCGTCTCCATTTTGAAATTCCCCTGTTCCGTCAATTTGTTTTATGTGTGCTCACACATAATTTTTTGCCATATGCCATTTAACAAGACGGTCATTTGAAACACACATACTTTGCATATGTAAAACACATGAACCTTATGTGTTGGTTATAAAATTTTTGTGTGAAGTGTTTTATGAAAGCTATGTGTAAAATAACATAAATAAAATCTGCTGTTTTATCAGTGTATGGGAAAAACGAAGTTTTTGTTCTCATCGTCTTGCCTTAAAAATAAAAATAACCATAAAAAGTACGTAAAGACGTGTTTGGGGTATCATCCTAACCATTTGTGGAATAGTTCTAACTTTTGGATTATCGCTCGTTTATGGTATCTGTTTATTGGGGCAGCCCTTCGCTATAATGATTTACAAAAATGTTTGCTATATGTTCTTATGTAAAATTTAATCAGCTACAACTTTGAAGTTTTATCAGATCAATTTCTGATTGAACGTCAAGAAAATAACTATCAAGAATTTTTAGAAACTCAAACTAATTGGCACCGGTGCCTTTAGATTTTTTCGCAAATTTTGTCGCACACACGTCTCTTATATGATGCTTACTTCTCAGTATCTTCTAACTTTTTCATCACCAACGAAAATAACTACTTAATTACCTTCCAATTCGATAACTTTCTGATATGTTTGATCTACTGCCTTCAGGGTAACACTTCATCTTATGACATAGTAGCCTGGATTTTTTCCCCTATTCTTCACCGTAGATCAGAGCTGGTAAATATCACGGCCGTCATGTGACCATGGGAAAACAGGTCCACTCACTATCACGAGACGAAACTACCTATCATTAGCTTTCTTGTCATTTTCCAATGATCAAGCACTCATGAGAATAATTCTTATGCGGTTTTTGACATCAGCATTTCTAACTGATTTAGATTTATTTAAGCAAACAACCGTATGTAATCGGTAGAGTTAATATATTATTACGGTTTCCTCGGAACAAGTAACATTAATAGCAATAAATGAACTAGTAATTACGATGATCACAACACTGTCACGTTCTGTCATGACAAAAAATTCGATGAGTTTTTGAAGAAAATATCAACCATCGTTTTCTCATCCGATGATAGTGACAGAAGCATCTCTGTAAATATCGCATGAGATCTTTCATTAAAAATTACATTTGCCAGCCCCAGGGCCTCCCTTAGCTCAGTCGGTAAAGGCGCAGCTACAAAGCAAGACCATGCTGGTGGTGGCTGGGTTCGATTTCCGGTCCGGTCTAGGAATTTTTCGGATTGGAAAATTTCTCGACTTCCCTGGGCATAGAAGTATGATTGGACTTGCCACACAATTATACCAATGCAAAAATGGTACAGGCACTAAGTTGAGAGAACGCAATAAGCTAATATGCGATATGCAATAAGCTTGAAATGCGAAGAAGAAGAAGAAGAAGAAGAAGCCCCGCCGTAGACACATCAATATTGTGAGCTAATTAATTAATAACTGTTCTGAAGTTCAATTAAGATGTGGTCTGAGCTATTGATATTCAATATTTTGTAGCAAATAAAATTTCATATAAAGTCAGATGGCAAACTTATCCGTACATTATTATGCCAAAGGTTAGAACGACCAAAACAAACAAACGGCGTAGTGGTTAACATCCATACCTCTCACGCCAAAGTCACGAATTCAAATCTCACCCCCGGACGAGTCACGAATGTCCCAAGAGTGTTAAAGTGACTATATATAAAAAACTACAAGGGACAGCACTATGGAGTTGTACGCAATGGTGACGTAGGACTACATGGTCGTATATAATAAATCTTATTTGTTAACTGCAGCAGCAGGTTTTGTGTAGGAATAGGAACTTGAGTGGGTTCTCTCTGTTTATACCCTTTAGTATGACGCGTTTGGCCCACAGCGACTCACGAAGTGCTACTGATTCTGATCAATAGCGGTGCGACTTCTTCTTCCTTCTATGGATTCTCATGTGGGCTGCAGCTTGCTGCTTGCAGGCAGCCTTTCGTTGTGTATTGGAGAACCCCACCACTCACCACGCGGTGATTGAATAAACACCGTTTGTTGAGACCAGATGGAATTCAACTTTGAAATCTGTGTTAGAGAAATCGCTTTTTGCAGACAATCGGTGATAACGTTAATTATCATAGCAACAGTTACACATTTATGCAATTTTCAACAGTGACACTTTGAAAAATGATAAAGTTTAAAATTTAACAGACGCGTAGAAATATTTCTGATCGATTGGTGATAAAATTATTGAAATTGGTCCAGGGGCAACAGAGTCAAAATCTTTCATAATTTTGTTAGATGATCCATTTTCAGGTTTCACAAAGTGTACCCCCAAATAGAAATCACAGACGTAGTCCTATTGTTATTGTTATTATTGTTATTATTGTTATTGTTATTGCTCAGTTCACACCCTGGCAGGCTGCTGCCTACCGATCTGCACTTAAGCCAGGCATGAACCTACGGAGATTTAGTCGTGGCCTATGTTAGACCGTATAGCATAACGACTTTCCTTTCACTAGCAGGCTTTTTCGTCCCACTAGCGTCCGATTAGGGGATAGTAAGAGATCAAAAGAATAAAGAAGAGAGATAGAAGATTTTGTTGTCCAGCTGCAAAAAAAAAAAAAAAACTCCGGCTTGTTGTGCAACATCAGGTTTGTTCGCTTTCATTCCGTTCCAAGGGGCAACGTCCATCGTCGTCGTACTCAAATACCTGGGCACCTCCAGAGGTGCACAGGGCCAACGTGAAATACTTCCATTCTGGGCAGCTACTTGATCTGGGCCCAGGTCAAATTCCTATCGGCTTGCTTAATTTCCTTGTTGACGCTCCGCCGCCCTAGTATTTGACTTTGCTGCGATGTTCTGGCGGATTTAATTCATAATCAAGTGCTTGCCTGCAGACTTAATTTCTATTGCTATCGGCTTCTGATGACATTTACATCTGAGATCCATTTGTGAGGCCACCAGCCACAAGTTATATTCCGCAGGCAGCGGTTGATGAGACCTGCAGCTTTTGAGTGTTCTCCACTGGTGCTGCACAGATTACACGTTTTAATCGAAGTTTAGAATTTTGGTACGTTGACCAATCTGATTTGATCTCCACTTTTGTGTAAATGTCATATTATCACCGACCTTATTACCATCACCTTAGTGTGTGACATCAGATGTACGCTCCTCTGTGTTTTCGTTACCAATGCAGTTAATTTGACACGTTTGTTGCATTCCCGAATGTCTCAATATTATTCTTGCTGAACCACCGTCAAACCCACTATCCAGAGGCAGCGAACCACCTTAACACCTGAAATTATACAAAAACAAATTAAACATTAGCACCAACCCCCCCCCCCCTTCCTCGATTGCACAAGCCATACAACAGGATCATTTCGTGCCCCATGACAACTTAATCCAGTTGCTTCCAGGTTCATTGTTTTGGCGCCAGCCGGGAGAGACTTGGTCCTGTACCAAATGCTTTCCTTGTCTCCATTCCGCTCAGCTACTCGCAATTGATTGTGATATAGTGGGCGGAATATGGGCGGTCTTCCAAATTTGGCCGATCATCAGGTAATCAGTGGGTTACCACCTGGCACCTCTTAGCAAGCACTATGCTACGAAGCGGACCGGAAGTTTCAATGAACAACCTCCCCCAAATCACAGACGTAGTACTACGTCAAAAAACTTTAACACAGTAATTCCCATATAAATTTCAAAGAGCCAGTGCAGTATGAGTTCTCATCTAAATGAGCTCAAACTTTGGGAGAATGATCAGGACCTAATTTAAAATCTATTGAGCTTGAGCAAAATCGATTTTTTAAACCATCCTGATCTATTATATATATTGATTATTTTTTTACTATAGCTAATCTTAATATTAAAACAAATAGACGCTGTGATCACGATCGAACGTGCAAAGTTTGGATTAGGCAGTTCACTGCCCATAAAAGCGACATCTTCGCATATAATGCGTTTTAAGTTTATTTGAATATGGTAGATGTACCAGTTATGGATTTATATTCATATTATGGTGTATTTCTGTACTGAGATAATTGTTCCATAACATTAAATTGAAATATCGTATGATTTTTTTTTTTGCAACAAGATTACAACAACAATAATTCATTTGGATCTGATCACAACCTCTAATTACAGTTGCAACTGCCATAGGCGATTTCTGCCAGTATGACGATCAGTGTCAATATCTGCTAAGTACCGATTCCGAATGTCGTGCCAACTCATGCCAATGTCGCGAGGGAACGCACTACTATCGAACTATGAAGAACTGACAGATTTTTCAACCAGCTATACAACTATGAATTTCTGATGTAGTGGCAAGCATGATTGCCGCTCACCCCAAAGGGCTAATCGCCTCCGCCGGGATTTGTTGTTGCATCAAATCTCTGATCACGCCTTCCTTCGGAAGGGAAGTGATCATCAAAGTAAACTTTTGTTTACTCTTTATTTGTTCTAAATTCAAAATAAATAACTTTTCATTTTAACCTAGTTGCCCAGCTACTATACTAATTTACCAGCCTTAATTGTTATGGTATATATCTAAGTGTTTTTGCATTGTCTCTGCCTTGGCAATTCAGTATTTTAAACAGGTTTTCTATACATGCAATCTGCATGTCAGTATAAAAATTGACATCTTTGGAAAATTGACATCTTTGAAATTAAATCTTATCTTTGTATAAACGAAATTAATCGTTGCAACGATTTTTGCCTTAAATTAGTAATTATTTTGTTGACATTTGTTCTAAAGTCTTAACATACGAAATTCTATGTGCCTCGATAGCATATTGGCCCGTCCAATCGGTTCGTCATATAGCGTGGCATGCTTATAACCAGAAAAAAACTGGACACCATAGAATAAATCTTAAATTTTGATCAAAAAATCAAAACAAAATTCAAAGATGTAGGGGAAATGGATGTAATGTCGGCCATAAAAGGCCCATACATAAATTCAGCAATCGACTAAATTTTCAGTAGCGACCAAAAATATCCATCAGTACCGTCACAATGACGTAGTTTCCCCTATTTTTAGTTTGCTTACAACTACAAAAAACCTTACCGTTTATTATAAATTCACTAACTTTTTGCACCCACTTAGGTACAGCAAGCGTTTGCCGGACAGATTCCGAGTGCCCATCAAACGCATATTGCGAGCACTACACTCCGCCGACTGGATTCGGTGTATGTTCCTGCCTTCAAGGCCACTTTATGCTTACGCACAACTACACCCGAGAGTGCCTTCGTTGTAAGAACTCATTGTCTATTCCAACAATAATTCATTTGGCTCTGATCACAACCTCTAATTACAGTTGCAACTGCCATAGGCGATTTCTGCCAGTATGACGATCAGTGTCAATATCTGCTAAGTACCGATTCCGAATGTCGTGCCAACTCATGCCAATGTCGCGAGGGAACGCACTACGTCGAACGGGAACGAAGATGCTACAAAACCAGCTACCTTGGCCAGTACTGTCGATTGACCAACAATTGCATTGGTGATGATACCTATTGTCGTGATGGCGTCTGTGTGTGCGCCGTAGGCAAACACCCGAATGCTGGACGAAATCTTTGCCTTCCGGATGTGTACCTAGGCGAAACGTGCTTCCGAGACGAAGAATGCATAACGGAGCATTCTCGATGCAATAACGTGTGTCGCTGCCGAGTAAGCCATATCTTGAATCGAGAACAAAACCAATGCCTTCCAAGTGAGTATGTAGGTCAATCCCAGCAGATGAGACTCAAGAATGGGTCGATTCTTCTAGGGCAATGGTGCGTGACGACAATAATGTGCCTTTGATTTCCATTACAGTCGCCGGAAAGCTGTACGATCTGTGCGAGGTGGATCTGCAGTGCCTTTACAATATTCCGCACTCACGATGCCAGATCGCAACCACGCCGATCGGCGAGAGTGTGGGCAATTGTACTTGCGCCAACGGTTACCACGAGATCGGTTATGTAAGCTCATCAATTGAATTCAAGATTGTTCTTTCGGTTTTGGTTTCTTTTCTCCCCCGTAGCACCCATCTATCGATGCGTTCGATCACGAAATGTTTATCGTTGGGTTTGAATGTATGTGTTTCGATAGATCACAAACGTATTGAGCCATGCTCGTAATGATGTTCCAATTTTCTAAAGCATCAATCAACTTTAGAGGCTGACGAAATGTGAATTGATTCGTTAGTGTGATTACTGTCAATTTGCTGCAAGCACATTCTGGTCATCATAATCGAGAATAATTTAGCATATTTGTAATTTAAAAGAAGCAAGTAGGTATTTGAAAAATGTTGGACAATTCTTGATAGAGCTGGAATTAGGGCGAAACAGCTTTTGTAAACAATGACTTCTCTCGATTATTTCTCGAAACTCAAGGCACACCCACGCAAACCAACATAACCAACGGGAAGGGGAAGTCTTCCCCTACCAGATGGTGAGAGTTCCAGTTATGCCATGTGCAACGGTTAGTGGTTGAGTGAAACTATGGTAATTCCTATACGGTTAGTGAGCTGTAACTATTGACTTTATAAGAGTTCTCTGGGTCTTATTTCTATTTGACCATGGATACATAGATGTACAGTCAATTACCTGCATTCTATTTCAATTCTACTCATTGGCTGAGTAGATTTGGCGATATTGCCCTCTTATTTTCTCTCATGGAATATTTACTCAGTTGCAGTTCAAAGGGACTTTCCTCAGTAACTTAGTACCTACAACTGGAATAAACTATTGAAATAAAGTGCATACGATTTTCTCCCGGGCAATTCGTCTTGGGGAGGAGGGAATGCACTTTAGATTAGCTCCGTCTCTAGCATACGAACACCTACACACTTAGATTTTTTCGCCGAGATGGGCACCACCGAGCAGCTCGGCATTTTATTTTGCTGGATCTCAGTGAAAAACTTGCCGAGATTCAGCTAACAAACGGGAATTTTGCCGAGATCTCAGCTAACAAACATATTTTTTGCTGAATTTCCAGTAAAATAAAATGCCGAGCTGCTCGGTGGTGCCAATCTCGGCAAAAAAATCTAAGTGTGTACCTGATAGATAGTCAGGCTGATTTTTCTTGTAATGGTCGTTCTGGTTTACAGACTTCCCTTTAGGGTCATGCCATGTTAAATTCCTTTAACTAAAAATGAGCACGACAATATCATATAAATAATCATTTTTCAACGTTTAATGTTCAAATGTTTTTCAACCATTTGGAACTGGGCCTGGACCGAGCCCATGGACGTTCGGTATACGGACGTTTAGCACAAAAGCGTTTGACTGAATAGACGTAGAACAAGGTGGGCAAGATAAGATGAATCACGAGACAAGATGTGTCAGTTAGTCTTCTTCTTCTTCTTCGCATTTCAAGCTTATTTCACATCGCATATTAGCTTATTGCGTACTCTCAACTTAGAACAGTTATTAATTGAGAGCTTTCGATGCCTGTACCATTTTTGCATTGGTATAATTGTGTGGCAAGTCCAATCATACTTCTATGCCCAGGGAAGTCGAGAAATTTTCCAACCCGAAAAATTCCTAGACCGGACCGGGAATCGAACCCAGCCACCTCCAACATGGTCTTGCTTTGTAGCTGCGCCTTTACCGACTGAGCTAAGGGTACATTTATTAATTTATTTGTTTGTCAATACCAACAGATTCACTGCAACTCCAAATGTTGGTTTGCTTTTCAAATCTGCTTTGGGACTACATTGATGATGACAAACAAACAAATAAATAAAACAAGAAGAAGACCCATATTGCCCCACCTTACCTTATTGCATTGACACAATTGTGTCATTGATTACAGAGTCCATTACCCTGCGCACCTTCACTAGTGCAAAGGGCAAACGTGAATGACTTCAATCCAAGGCGGCTGCTGGGTTTTGCTTTAACCTGGGCCTATCTCAAATTCTTGCCGACTTTCTAAATCTCTTTGTTGAGGCTCTGCCACTACGAATTCCTGGGTCTGCTTCTTTTGAGATTTCCTGCCCAGTTTCAATTTAGCGCTTGCTTGCTGATTTAGTATTCGTCCCTTCTCTGATTCATTCGAGATCCAGTTGTAAAACCACCAGATTCGAATCACATACCACAGGCATTGTTTAATGAAGACCTGTGCAGCTTTTGAGTGTTCTCCGCAGTAATGCACCATGTTTTGCGAGAATACACACCTATACAACAGAACAGATTTCACGTTAGAATTGAAAATCCGGATTTTGGTGCGTTGACTAAACTTGTTTAATTTTTAAATATTCCATAACCTCACAAAGGCAGCCAGAACCTTCTTGATTTATGCATCTATATAACTCTTGATACCGCCGGCAGACTCCATCTGGCTGGCATGTATGTTATTGGAAACTTCCAACTTTCTCCAATGCTTGCTCAGTTACCGTAAAGTTAACTGTGGAAGGGTTGTCTGTGCTGACATCCAACGATTTAATCTTGTAGACATTGATGGTGAGACCCGCCGCAGAGGAGCGTTTAGTCAACAATCAATACGAAACTAACGATTTTAAATTGGCTCACTACTTGACTAGCCTATTGGTCCCAAGCAAACGATTAACGTACCCTATTCTAGTCGAAATTCTAGTACTACGCAATGTTTGTTTTGATTCGCTATGAAAGTTTGACAGATAAAATGAGGGGTTATTGGTTTTTCCTATGTTTCGAGGGGTGAATCGATTAGCTTGGGACCGAAGAGAGTACCAGAACTAAGCCAAAAAGTTGAGCTCGTTATTTCGGGACCTTCTAGTCTTAGAGTTACCTCTATGGTTTAGTTATGTTATCAGCCCAAATCGAGGTTTACGGGGTAAAAAGGGAGATTCTCAATTCGCAATTCGTGAACCTTTAAAAATATAGTCTTCAGATTGGTTGACAACGGTATCATTTTTTAGATGTACGGGCCATGTTGAGCATCCCCATAGCCATAGTGCGTAATGAGAATATCTACAAAAACGGGGACTGATGGTACATTTTTAAATATTAAACGTGCTTTAACGATTAGTAAACAGTTTAAAAAACTACAAGGAACAGCCCAATAGGGTTGTACGCAATGATGACGTAGGACTACGTCAAAATATAATAAATATTTTTGTTAACTGCAGCGGAAGCTTGTGTTTTGTGTAGGAATAGGAATTTCAGCGGGGTTCTCTCTGTTTATACTTTTTAGTATGACTATGTTTGCCCTGAAAAGAACCTTTGATATGAATTTTAGTTGGGACATGTTCAGAAAATTAACTCTTTTGGAAAATGTTGGTGGCCCTGAAAAGGGCCGACAGTACAGGCTTTGGAAGATGATGATGACGTGTAGGCTGCTGCGTATTAAGTGACGGCATCACGGATCACATTTTCTCGACACACCTCGGATTTCCTCGTACATCAGACCAGAGATGAGCTTAACACCACCACGTCGAGCCAGACGACAAATGGCAGGCCCTCGATATTATCACACGATGACACTTGGCGACTCCTTTACAAAATTCTTTGCCACCCTTGCCACGACTAGTCATGCCTCCTGGTTGTTTACCGTTGAACGGGTGAATCGCAACTAATGCGAAGACGCGAAGAGCTGGTTGTCTATATAACAGGTAGCTAACGACAAAGTCCATAAACGATTTCTTTAGGTTGTCGTCAACTTTTCAGAAAGCTATGTGAAATTCACATGGATTTCATGCATTACTTATGTGATATATTTTTTGAGTGTATCCCCTGTTTCCATGTTTGGTTACAAGATTACAACTCTGGAGAGCATTTTGTATGGTCGTTGGGAGCGTGTGGTTCTGAATATGGCGATGAGTTTGCAAAATATTACGCAATTCCATCCTCCCTATTCGCACGCGCCCGAGGATCGGAGGCGAATGCCACTTCGACTTGTTTCGTCTACTTACTACTCTCTGATGACTGTGCTGGGGAAGCAGCATATGCATGTAGGTAATTGGTGAATTTGTTAGATAATTCAACGCATTTGGACAATGCTGGACATTTACCAGTTTTTCAATAGTTTCTTGATGAAAATCAACATTCGGAAGCATTGTTATCGATGCGTAGCCATATCTCTGATCGATTGGTGATAAAATTATTGAAATTGGACCAGGGGCAGCTGAGTTATTAACGTTCAAAATCTTTCATAATTTGTTACATGTTCCATTTTCGGTTTTAACAAAGTGTACCCCCATATAGAAATCACAGACGTAGTCCTACGTCAAACAAAAACTGATGAGGAAAGATGCATCGTTGTGGTTTCGACTACAAAAATAGATAAAGATAAAAGTCTTATGAATTTAATGACGGCCATCAACACCGTTACATTAGAGGCATTCCACGAAGGTTCGCAAATCGATCCTGACCGATCATTTCCTATTACGCTGAAACTTTGCACAGTTGTTCCTTTTTAGTAAAGATGCCAATTTGTTTTATCAGTTCTTCAAATTGAATCATGACTACTTTTTGAAAAGGGCCTGTATAAAAATAGTACTAATGAGTTTAAAAATATATATTGCCGTAACGCTTTGTTCGATTGATTTGGTGTTCTAAGCAAAGTTGTTGATATTATTTTGGCAATTGTGTAAAAATATACGCTGTAAAAAATTATGTTTGTTTCAATGAAAAAAAATATATTTATTATTAAAAAAGTTAATTTCTCAAAAAGTACATTTTAATACATTGTAAAAACGGCTTGCTTGATTGCTATGGTGTCTTTGAGAAAGTTATCCAAAATTAAAATGCAATTCTAGAAAAAATATACACGGTTGAAAAACATGTGTTTTTAACAAAAATGTAAAAATCGTGAAATTTTCAAAAAATCATAACTTTTTTGTTTTTGAGTTTACCATCACCAAACTTTGCCAGTTTTTAGCAAACAATATGAGCTTCAATAATGTACTTTTTGAGAAATTAACTTTTTTAATAACAAATATATTTTTTTTATTGAAACAAACGAAATTTTTTACAGTGTATATTTTTAACATTATTGCCTAAATTATATCTACAACTTTGCTCAAGACACCAAATCAATCCAACAAACCGTTTCAGCAATATATATTTTTAAACTCATTAGTACTATTTTTACACAGGCCCTGTTAGAAAAGTAGTCGTGATTCAATTTGAAGAACTGATAACACAAATTGGCATCTTTACTAAAGAAGAACAACTGTGCAAATTTTCATCAAAATCGGAGCCGACAAATTAAAAAAAAATTAAAAAATTCGTCAATCTGTAGAGAATTGCTCATTAGTGAAAAAAAAATGTTGCAATTGCACTGTTTCCACTGCCGCAGTGGACACCTTGTGACAAATGTTAACAAGTTTTGTAGTGCCCATTTCGCCCCGTCTCGAAAAAATATTCTTAACTCGTTCCTTAATTTAACGTCGGTCTCTGTTCCGCAATCTAGTGCCAATCACCGACGGACATCGATTGCCAACCATTGACGGCAATCGAATGTGCAGGAAGGCAGCTCACACCTGCGTAGGATTTCGCACCCATTCAACACACATGGGCCGGGACTAACGGCTTTACTTCCCTTCCGAAGGAAGACGTGACCAGAGATTTTTATGGCTCGGCACAGGTTTGATGGTCAGATGTTTGAAAATTAAGTAAATATTATTTGCCAGAATTAAATACCACAAAAATATTAGCACAGATCGGTAAAAGCTTATTAAGTGGTGGTGAAATATAATAATATTTCGTAGTCACAAGGCAAATTCAAGTTTTGAGGTTGTTTTTATAAGACGAGAATTCTCATATTTTAAAAATTGCTAAGTTGGCTCATACATTATGTAGAATACTTAGCTCCCTTTAAATCAAGTTTAGTTGATTCACCTAGGCTCATATTATCCTTCATTTTTATATTCTTTTCAGAAATGTTATCCCTCAGTCTACCTGAATGGCATTTGCGAAGTCGACGAAAATTGCGCAATCAACCAGGACACGGTTTGTATCAATGGACGCTGTCGTTGTGCAGATCACATGGTTGAAGTCGATGGGCAATGTTCAACAGCAACCAAACATCTTCTTTACACAGTCCAAATAATTGTTCTATTAGGCATTAGCCAAATATTGTAGACTTAACTTATCAAAGATCATCTTAGATTAAGCCGATGTAATTTTATTTATTTGAGATAGTCCTAAAAAAGGAATACCTACATACCATTATGGAAGCAGTATTTATTTCTGTGAAAGCATGTGATCACCAAATACAATTTTAACACACTTAGAACAATCAATTGTAAATAGCGATAAGATATAAATGATAAAAAACTCATGGTAAAACTGGCATTTTTAATGACAATGTAATGAGAACCTTACCTCATCCATTCTGGTACTACATTCTTCAGGATTCAACTCATTTGAACCGATATCTTGGACTTACCTTTCCTCAAATAGCTATTTATTTTCGTAACGTTGATATACCTATTTTCCTAAATTGATTTTTTTTTATCGGTAAAGATGCGTCAACAATTTTGGAAACCCTGCATCCTTACGTATTCAAAGAAATATGTCATCCAAACATTCAAGACCAATTGTACCAAAAGGCAATGTATTTATTGCTTATTCCTTATCTACTGTGTTGTAAAACAACTCGGAATGAAAATTCCCAACGAATACTATATATAAAGAGTACAAAAACTATCTAACTAGCTACAAATGGACGTAACAAAATTAAATGAAATGAAACAGTATCTAAGACAACTTCATCAATTGCATCATCACCGTGGGACAAATCAAGAAAACACCACCGATTACGTAGGTTATCTTAGATCCTATACTCCAGAAGGCAATCGAAGCCACAATCGGACCAAGAGCACGTGCCAAGGCGCCAAGAGAACGAAATACTCCCAAAACGGTACCCTTCTGATGAAAATCGCCATACTTGGAAGTGAGTGTTGTCATGCAGGTTACCACGAATGCAGTCGCTGAATAAATTAAATATCACAGTGTGAGTTAAAGCCATTTGAAGGGGAAATTATAACTTACAAATCGCAAATAGGATCATTCCTAAATAGAGCATTTGCGTGGTTTCCGCAATTCCTACGACGATGAACGCAGGGATGATTAAGTACAGTCCATATACGGCTGAGATTTGCGTTAAACGCTGTGGAAGCCTCCTAACGACTGAGCCTTGCAAGAACGCCATGGTGACGCCTGGAAATAAATAAAATAAAGCATGAGAAGTATTATTACTTGAGGTTCCAATAGAAACAAGGTCGTGGAAGAATTTCATATGACACATTCGTTATAACGGGTTTGCCTGTTTGTTTACAGTGTTTGTACTGTAACTTTAGTGGGAATGAAACTGATGAAAACTGCACATTGTAGTCGAAATACGTATCTGTCATAGAAACCAAAATTAATTAAGTGGAATTAAATAAAAGATATCCCTTTTTGCTGTTTTATTTAAGCATTCCGCTAACAACCCAATTTCATTACTTCAGCCACTAAATATTATTGCATAATTAGAAAGTGCGTTAAATATGCTAAAAGAATTGATCAAGAGTTGTTGATTTTAGTAGTTCAAAATGTTTTGGGGTTGTTGAGTAGTGTAGTTGAGAAGTGCAAAACATTGTAACGTCACGCAACATAGTCGCTCACCAAATCATTTTGAGCTACTCAAAATGATTTGGTGAGCACATTAGATTTAGATTAGATTTATATTAGATTTTTTAAATATTTTAGACTTTTTAGATATTCAGAGGACATCAAATTCGTAGAGCTTAAAGCGAATTTTAAAGAAATTTAGGGTGTTTTGTAAAAATTCGGGAAAACTATGCGGGAACCTGACACACTTTTTGGAAACTTTGGTGAATTATGGCCCAAGCTCTCATATTGGTTTATTTTAAAAGTTATAAAAGTGCAGGACACGTCTTAAAACTTAAAATAACTTCTTAAGACTTCTTAACATGTTAAGACTTAACATAAATCAGGAAATTCCTTAGAAATTCAAGAAACATTGTCCAATTTCAGGGAACTTCGTAGAAAATCAACTACATACTAAAAAAATCAGGGAGCACCTCAAACTTCACAGGAATTTTGAGAACTTTGTAGAAGTCATTCGAATTACGTAGCAGTTCGAAGAACTTCAGGAAACTTCATGGAAGTGCTGGGATTTTTTAATTAAGTTGAAGGAACATACTTCTAGAATTTCACGGTTTGTTTTGGAAATTTTGGAAAATTTGTTTCGCACAAATGTTTAGGAAAATTTATAGAAAAAAGTTCGAGGTGTCTCCTGATGTTTGGAGATTCTGAAAGTCATTGTGTTCTGAGATTTTGATCGAATTGAGCAGTTTTGGCGTGACTTTCTACCAGCGATTTCACAAAACTGGACCAATTAAATTCTGTTTTTTATGAAACGCACAAATGTTGGCTACTTTTCTAGAAGAAAAATCTCAAAATAATGTTTTATTTCAAAGTTCAAGTGGTAGTAGACGTCATTTTAATTGCTCGAATGAAGTGGTGAATTGAAATTAAAAAAAAACATTATGGAACTTGGAAGAAATTGATGAACGTAGAAGTTGAGAAAATTTTCAAGAAGTCAAGATTATAGAACTGGGTAGGATCATTAGAGCAATTTTTAGTGGCAAATGACCACTACCATCCGAGCCAAACAATAATGGGTGATCAGCAAGCGACAAAAATAAAATTGTTTGAAAGTTTGTTTGCAACAAACGCGGTTGATGACATAACTTAATCGGAGCGGTGTAATGACATAACACAATTTTCCTCCTTGATTTACATGTATATCTTCTACATTTTATCATTTTCCTGCCACCTTTTTCATCAGAATAAGCTATGTTGTAGAGGGAGTTTGTCAAGACAATCGTTGCGAGCGTTTTGTCTATGTTGTTGTTTGCTTTCTGTTTTTTAATACCCTGGTCGTAGGCTAATTCTCAGATCCCACTTGACAGGGATTCGTTCGATCAGGAACTCGTTTTAATTTTGCCGGTCTGGTTCTACCGGATGCTGCTGATTTAAGAGATGAACTAGCCTCAGGCTAAAAATCTCTATAATAAAGAAAAAAAAAAAAAAAAAAAAAAATGCTGCTGATTACCGTCCCCAGCTCCAACTTGTTGAACTACTGCGCTGCCATGTGGACGCATAACTGTTCCATGTGATAATTTTGCGTTTTTAATGTTTAAAATCTTATATGCACTTTTGGAATATTACATAAACACATGCTGTTTATTCTAGAAAAATTCGATTTGTCCCTCTTGAATTATGGACGCATATTTATCCCACTGGAACAATTCAAATTAGGAAATCACTGAAGAGGATCGGTCATCGCATGTAGGCCCTTATGACTCTAACAGCTAGATTTATAAAAACAGCCTTGTTTTGCGTCCATTATTCAAGTGGCACAAGTCGACTTAACATTTTTCGGATGTTTGTGTTTTGTAACATGGGACAGTTATGCGCCTACCGGCCTTCTTTGGTTCTCGAGAATCCTCAGAAGATTAGCCTTGAATTCCGGACTCATGTTGCCTCGCGTGACTTTGTTTACGACCTCGTCGCCAATATTGTCATATTCTTTGGAAAACTTATGACTATTGACATCAAAGCAGCGTTATGATATGTCCTGACTGAGCAGTTATAACATTTTATAAGGCTATCTTGATGACATTTTTCTTGTCGATAATTAGTATAAGTCTGTAGTCTGTACAGTCATCGTGTTCATGAATGCATATGAAGAGAAATATGTTCTAACTTACCAGTAGTGAGGAACATTTTCGCCTGATCGATCGATGTATAGTTGAACTTATGATACATAAGGAATGTAACGGTGAACTCCAGTCCGGAGTAAATGAACAAGTAAATAAAATACACTAGCCCGAGGCTTTGAAGAGATTTTATGTCTCGCATGGAAAGATTCTTCACTGCCGAAAATTTAAATAGTGCCGGAATACTGATGTGGTCCAGAGCATGCGATAGTGAATTAATGATCTTTTTGGAACGTTTCTCCTTCGCTAGGGACTCCTTTAGACAGCATGCAATAAACACTACGTTTAACGATGCCAAACCCATGGCAAACATTGCCGGTAACCAAAACCATTGCGCATCGGTTTTGTCGGCGAACCGTGAGAATATCGCTCCAATCATAGGTCCCACGATGAATCCCAACGAGAAAGCAATCCCAACTAGTGCCATTGCTTTTCCTCGATTCTGCTGGTTGGAAACATCCGTTATCACTGCCATACAGATGGAAATGTTTCCTTTACTCAAGCCGCCCACGAATCGCGCCAATACAAAAAGCATAAAACTATGCGAGTAGGCCCACAATCCGTACGAAGCGGCAATCCCGACCTGAAATTGAAAGGATTATTGATAGAACTCGAATCATATTTCCAATGTTTGATCTATACTCACAGCACAAACAATCAGAACGGGTTTCCTTCCGTAGAAATCGGACAGTCTTCCGGCAATCGGGCTAACAATGAATTGCAGCAAGCTGAACATGGATCCAAGAGCACCGCCAAAGAGGACAGAATTGAACCGTTTCGGAGCGCCAACCAACTCCTGGAAACTGCTAATACTGTCCGACAAATACCCATACAAACCGCCGACATCGTTTTGTTTGTAATACTCCAACATGGATGGTAACAGGGGCAGAATCATGGTAAATGCTAACAAATCCAAAAGCAATGACCCGAATATCAAATAGGCCGTCGGATGGGTTCTGGTAATTTCATTGATTGTCTTGGACGGTTCTACAACTTTTTCCTGCTGGGATGATTTGGCGAGATTATTGTTGTTGATGGTCGAGCTGGAAAGCCCAGAACGTTTTTTGATTACGCCCATTGTGGTGTATGTCATTGTGATGATTTGTGATAGAATCTGGAATGAAAGATAAGTAGGTTGACCATGAATTACTGATTGCAAATGCAAAAACTCTATTTGGTAACATTAGAACAAGTGTACATACACCTCTCCCCTTTGTCACATTTTTTGTATGGACCTTAATTTTTTTTTTTTTGTATGACTCGTCACATTTTCCAAATCCCTCCCCCCTTCCTCTAAAAGTGTGACATAATTAATGGACGATCCCAAATGAGTAGCTTTTGAAGTTTTGACAAGTAAATGAATTCCGTTTCCAATTCTGATCTTTTGAAATCAGTTGCATTAAATTTTTGTGTCATGGTGAACTGTGGAAGGAAAAACACGACCGTTCAAGAACAGAATCGGGAATATTGTCATTGCGATCAGACCTAAAAGAAACTAGGGGAAAAGGATATAATGTCCCTACATAAATTCAGCAATCGACTAAATTTTCAATAGCGAACAAAAATATTCATTAGTAACGTCCCAATGACGCGTTCATCTAGATAAAATTGATAAACAGCATATTTTTAGCGATGGGCTCATTCATAGATCCATAGGCCAACATTAGAGCCATTTCCCTTATATAGTTACAGCTCTTTGAACTTTTTAGCAGCGAAAAAAAAAGGTAATACACAGCAAAAAAATAATTTTAATATCACATCAAAGTGGATGCACTTCAATCGTGTCGAAAATATGGTGTAATATTACTTGCCAAAAAGGACTAAATTGTCATTAATACAGTGCCATTACGCTACTTTTACTGTATTTGTTTATTTTTGTGGCCTTCAAAATTACATGAGATTTTCGACATGATTGAAGTGCATCCTCTTGGATGTAATATTAAAATTTATTTTTTGCTGTGTATACTTATGTCCAGTCACAGCAAAAAATAATGAATATCCATCAACGGGATATTTCGTGATGTAATCGATAGTTTATTGACGTAATAAAAACCCAGTGCACACTATTCTGACTAACTGCAGACCCATCAAAATTACGCCATGCTTGCTGTATTACACCTTTTTAAAACAACTGAGTCTGAAAGCAAATTTTCGGATTGTTTACATTCAACCAACGTAATTTCTGTAATAAATCAAATGCACTTCAGCCATACCAAATATAAGAAGCTTTATTGCATCTGTAAAGAGGTAATATTACTGGTAAACAACTCTCTTGGTTTGCTCGATACTGTACATCACTTTATACGAAATGTTTTAAATCAAAGCCAAGAGTTTTTAAAATACATTATGAGAAACTCTCGTCGGGTCGACCAATTCTTCCATAAGGTTTAACAGTTGTCGACTGATTGAATAGGCTTGCATAATATACCCTTTAATTTTTTAAATGAGGAACAAAAGATATTTCCATAAAAGTAAATGTACTATATTTTCAATCAACAGGTTTTCAGAAGATGAATACATCTTTAAATAATATCATTCAATGTGCAAGATATTTGTGGGCCTGTTTATTCATGGCCGCTTTATATTCGAAAAATCGTTGCATGTGCAAAGAAAAAAGTTTTATTTTGTGTTGTACACCATTTTTATGAATATATCAATGGCATAGTGGAATAGAGAGAATAAAGTAAGTCTTAATAGATTTTTTTTCTTTTGGTTTGGAAAGTACGGCGAATTAAATTGGGGACCCGTACAGAAAGCCGAATGTAATTCGAAAGGCCGAAGCATAAAAGGCCGAAGCATAAAAGGCCGAAGCACAAAAGGCCAAAAATATTCTAAGGTACCACATAAGGCCGAAAACCAAAAAGGCTGACAGTCAGAAAGCCCGGAAGCCATAAAAGCCGAAAACCAAAAAGGTCGAAAATTTCCGATTCAGAATACCTCAGATATTGAAGCCACCTTATAGTCGTTATTTGCATCGTCATTGAATACTCAAACATCCGGAAAAATAAAGCTAACTATCATTTTCTCTCTCATTCAGCATCTGAAACCTTTCTGCGCTTACAACTGAGTCGTTGAATGGTTCGAATTCCCAAAAAAAAACGAAGCCATCTTGTCATTAAATCGTCGTTAAATACTCAAAAAAACATTAAAATAACCCAAATTTTAAGTCTTTTTATTTAATTTTCATTACGGAAATCAAATGACTATAAAGTAGCTTCGATTATATTTTATTTCGAAGATACAGGAAAATAATTATTGTAACGTTACTATTTAGATGTAATTTACTTTATTAAAAACAAATCTTAAATTGTTCAAAGATGGAAGAAGTTTTTCAACGATTTGAGGAAGACGCGGGTAACGATAACCAAGGTGATGAGATTCTGAAGTGCAGTCCAAAGTGTTTGAAATTGTTCCACAAGCAGATTTGTTCATCCGTACAATAGATATTGTTGTGTTCTCAAGACAATAGATCTGTATATCCAAATTTTATAAAATATTAATTCCAGCTTGAAAGTAAGAGTTTTTTTCAAAGAGTAAACAAATCGAGTTAATCGATCCAAACAATTACTCTTCTATCATTATATGTTCTACCAAAACACCCATTTAAATTTACTTGCATTTATTTAAGATAATCATAGGTAAAAAAAATTCTATGTATGGATTACTTGTTACTTCGGACATGATTGGTGATCATTTTGTAAATGCGGGGCATGGAAAGCTAATCTAAGGGCTTAATCCTAGTCGGCCGTAAAAGACAATGCGCAGTTCCAAAACTCGTATTTCACCAGTCGTCCAGCTGATGGAATACGGCAGCGATTGGTGGATAAATTTTTAGGTTGCTTCGCGTTTGTAAACAGGCTGGACTGCAGTGGAACTGCCAATTTTTTGACAATTTTTCCATGTCGAGAATCGATCAATGTAGTTAGGACCTTATGCATTGTTCGGTTTGATTTCAAACCAGACGTTTATACTTCAGTGTTAACATTTCAAAGGGGCGTAATTGCTTTTGTAAACAATGGCTTTAGCCGTCGATTTCTCGCGAATAAAAGCTCACACATGAAAATTAATAAAACCAACAAGTGGAGCAGTAGAGGAATGTTTCCTCTACCAGCTAGCATTGTTAATTTGGAGGGGTGAGCTTTAATTCGCGAGAAATCGTTAAAGCCATTGTTTACAAAAGCAATTACGCCCCTTTGAAATGTTGACACTGACTTGTTGGAGCAAAGCACTATTATAAAGTGAGTGTAAGTGTCCTATACGGAAACCATAGTTACATGACATTTCTTGTCTTGACGATCATAGTGAGATGAATAGCAACATGCTTTGGTCGTCAATAAAAAATTAAAGTTGTTGAATATTAATAAACGAGAAGTTTATTGGCCGCCCTGCATTTTACACTTATTTCACAGTTTTACACGACGACTATGTTAGTCTTCTAGAGAATACGAAGATGTACCATATTACGTGGATGTAAGTATGCACATTGTTTTTCGTTACTTATGAACAGATATGAAACTAATGACATATAATATGTATTGGAACCACCTCCAAAATGTTAATGGAAAGAAGATATTGAAAAGATCGTCGAATCCTGGGGAGATTGCATGTTTCATGTTAAAGAGTTCTTTATTCGTATTTCGCCCCGCATTAGGCTCTTGCGCCAAAAATAATCCCTCAGATACTGTTCGGTCGAATCTATTATGCAGTGAAACACGCAGTAACAAGATGGTTTATATACACATAAGATTAATATATTATTGGCTATTATCAACCAAGTGAGTGGAACAGACAAAAGCTGTCTCGTTGTGCACGTAATCAATCAGATTGATATCTCGATTTTACGTGACTATAATAGATGCAACGGACTTCAGAGGTGTCAAAGTTAGATGCTCACATTATCACATTACAAGTTATTTCATAGTAAAAATGTGTTAAATTTTTAGCACGATTTCATAAACTCCGGAAGCAACTAAACGATGAATGCATTTCAACGATAAAAATCCCGGCAACTAGTATATAAGCTGCAACTATCACATTCAAGTCACGTTCTCATCTAATATCTCCGCATTCCGGTCGCACTTGGACCGGGTTTCCAGTAGACGTGGATCCTATTATGCAATTTATATTAGTATCGTAAACCTACTTCATTGGTGCTCACAATATAGATCGCGCCTTATGCCTTGTAGGTTGATCATTGTCTTTCTTCTCACTAAAACATGGAAAGAAGCCTTAAAAACTATCTAAAACCCGATACTGTTATCTACGTTCTACGATTGATGTAATACTTACGAAATTTAGCTGCGGTTATAAAACGTGCGAGAAATTGCTCCAGTACACCATTTGCTGTCTTTAAAGCTGCTGTGGTCCAGATCTGTACAAACCAAAAGTGGTTTCGACGGACAACAATTTACTTTCACTTTTTTGTTATTTCTTTCATTTTACACACCCAATGTAGGCACGCACAAAATGTGCCAGTTCGGGTCAGCTTCTCACGGTAGACTGTCAGTAGACAGCAACAGCTTAGACGCTACAGAAGAGCAGATACACTGACTGCCAGGCGCACTGACTGTACTCAGAGAAACAGTGAAATAACAACAAAACACAAACGAGTCCAAAATGAATGCTCACGGATTCGAATGAATTTCTATCAAGGTGATAAAGAAGAGGTTAGTGGAATTTCAAATAATTGACCAACAGGGCTTCAAACGAAAATCGCAAAAAATGATACTAGATGACGTTGGAAACATCTCATAAAATAAGTAAAAGTTTACAATAAATTAAAATATTACAAAACATAAAATTCCAAGGTATGCTAATCAAAAATTACAATCAGTTAAAAAATGCAGTATAAAAAGTAGACAAGAGATTCATAATGCATGATAATACTTTAGCACTTAAGCTACGATTAGACTAGAAAATTACTCCACAGAAAAACAGAAATAACGCTGGTAATTTTTTCATCGAACACGCATTTGACGGTAAATTTAAATGTTTCTAGTTGGTAGTACCACCACCTGTGGCGCGCATAGTCAATAACCCTTGCGTTTGACGTTTACACACTACCGCCATCTGTTCATAGTATACTCAACAGATGGCGGTAGTGTTTAAGCGACGATGTTGTTTATTGACAAATATTCAATGTGTTATGTTTGTTTGTCTGTGGTTTATCTGTTCCAGACTTGTCAAGTTTTCACCGTTGAGCAAATCCAGGACAAATAACGAAATAAAAACGAATTTCAGGCGGTACTCTCTCCGATTTCCATGGAACATTGCATAATTTTTCGCTATGGACAATCATTCAAATTTGTGCTGAATTCAGCTATTCCAAAATGGTATATTCACAATTTTCAATAAATCATAGCACGAAAATGTGTTATCCAATTACAAAGGCCATATATTTTCCTATTTATTTGAATCAGACGTCGTTTCGACTAGCAGACACTTTTTCGAGCTATGATTTATTGCAAAATATCGAAAACACTATTTTAAAAAATGAGGTGCGAGTCAAAATGGGCGAATACCAGCACTAATTTGAATAATTGCCCATAGCAAAAGAAGTTTCATGGAAATCGGAGAGAGTAAAGTACAAAATATAATTATAGCATCTAATGATGAGCTCTGCTCTCTAAAAGCTACTGCTTGGTAGGGTTACCATATCAAAAACTTGAAAAGGGGGACATTTCATTTAAGGTTTGGAGATTAAGGAGGACAATGATTCCTTTTTTTAACATTAAAGAAGGACAATGAGTTTTTATCAAACGTTTTAATAATATGTGCGCTTTCACAAAATTCATGATTTGCAAAGGTTCAATTGAGATTGTTCATAACTTGTAGTCGTTACCAATTCAATTCATCTTCTCTTTAAAATTCTGAAAAATGCATCAAACTAGCCTTCATAATTTAGTGTTGATCGCTGGTTTGCATGAAAACTACAGCTATACAGCCTTAAAACCACCCCAATTGTTATCATGTTCAAAAATCAGGATACATGTCATCGCTGATTGAAACCAACATGGAACATCTAAGCAACCTGTTAATTTTACCATTGTTTCACACTCAAAATAATCGACACGTCAAAGTTACGTGAAATATCACATAAGGTATCTCGTTTCTCTATTCTATCAGCTTTACGTGACTCACGTAGCATATATGTGATACCACTTGAATATTAAAGAAACTTTCTGTTGAATACTTTAAGGCATCCAATGAAATTTACGTGATATCCACATAGACAATTTCTATGTGCGTTTCACTTAAACCTTACATGGTTTCCACTTCTGAAAAAAAAGAGTGCGACACTCAGCATGGTGCACAACATCGCGGCTAGATACAGAGATGTTTTCGTTCTGTTTATAAATTGATTGCAAGATGTAAGTATAAGATACGGGTTATTTTTTTTCCGAATGTCAAAACTCATTTTATTATTTTATTATTTTTTATAGGTAGATGGCAAGCAATCTAGCAGTTCTCCACGGAAAAAAATCTTGGATTATCACCAACCTATATGTTATCACCCTGCTCCTGATTGGAATTATTAGTGTTTCATTGGATTTTTTTTTTTTGCCTTTTTTCTTGAATAAAAGGGCATTAGTCTGATATATTGTGAAAATTCATTATAATAATAATGAAAAGTATATATTATATCGTATAAAGTATCGTCAATAACAATGGTACTTAAAACCACCATGACATTCATTAGCAAAATCACGTAAGTTATACGTGACACTCATGTGACGTTGAAGCTTGACGAAATGAGTGCATCTACATGAGAATCACGTAACTCTTACGTGAAAAGTACGATGGAAAAAAATCTACGTATGTTTTCACGTAGCATTGACGTGAAAATTATGTTGAGTGCAGAATAGGACTCTAAGGCCGCTGCCAAGACGTCATCATTTATTACCAGAATATCGGTGGAATGAATTCTGGTGTTAACGACTACCGCTTAGCTGTATCGGACCGTTGCTATGATGTCATCGTTCTAACCGAGACTTGGCTCGATTCTCGAACGCTCTCCAGGACCGAAATCCTAAAAACAGTCGGAAATCTAATGGAGGTGGTGTTCTTGTGGCAGTCCGTTCCGGTTTGAAAACGAGGGCTTTCGAAAATGACGCGTGGGACTGTGTGGAACAAGCATGGGTTGCCGTTAAACTGAGTAATCGGACACTGTACTTATGTGCGGTGACATTGCTCCTGACCAAGTTCGTGACAATGAACTTATCGAAACCCATTGTCGGTCCGTTTTCGCCGTAAGGTTAACTGCAACTCCAGTTGATGAGTTCTGGGTGACTTCAATCTAGCTGGTGTTTCGTGGAAACCATCTCACAGTGGCTTTCTCCAGACCCTGTACGCTCTGTATTTCATACAGGATCAGTTAGCCTACTCGATAGCTATAGCACAGACAAACAGACATAACACATTCAATATTTATCACTTTAAAACATCGTCGCTAAAACATTACCGCCATCTGTTGAGTACACTGTGGTGGGTAGTACGCTGAACAGATGGCAGTAGTGTGTAAACGTCAAACGCAAGGGAATTGACTATGCGCGCCACATGTGGCGGTACTACCAACCACGATACGTTTAAATTGACCGTTAAATGCTTGTTCGATGAACTACTTGCGAGTGTTATGTCTGTTTGTCTGTGGCTATAGTGCAGCAACGCTATCTCAAATCAATGACGTAGTTAACGAGAACAATCGAAGCTTAGACCTCTGTTTCGTTAGCGCTCAGGACACTGCTCCAGTTATCTCCACGGCACCTTCTCCACTCGTAAAGCAAGTTCCTCATCAACCTCCTTTGTTTGTCACTGTCCAAGATAGTCACGTTCGAGATTATGAAGACATTTCCACAAACGTGTCATACGATTTTCGGAAAGCTGATCATAGTAGTATCATCGACATGCTGTCTTGTCTACCATAGACTGGGGAAGCGTCCTGGACCCTGATAACGTTGAAACTCCTGCGCAAGCTTTTTCACATGTCTTGGCGTATGTCATTGACAGACACGTTCCAAAGAGAGTTCACCGAAAAGGGTCACACCTTCCTTGGCAGACGAGCCAATTGCGAAAGTTGAAATCGATCAAGCAAGCGGCACTAAGGAAATTCACCAAGTACGCTGTCGCTGAAACATCATACGTTAGGCTCAATCATGAGTTCAAGCGAGTTAGCCATCGATGCTATTTTTGTTATATCAACGTGAGATTCAGAGTAAACTCAAGTCACACCCGAAGTCCTTCTGGAATTACGTTAACGAGCAGCGCAAAGAGTCTGGCCTACCATCGTCAATGATGTTCAACGGAGAAGTTGCTTCCACCTCTCAGGAGATCTGTCGCTTGTTTTCAGACAAGTTTGCCAGCGTATTCTCTGAAGAGATATTAACCGACAACCACGTTACCCTAGCAGCTAGTAATGTACCACTCTCCGGTTGGGTGCATTTGACATCCACGTCGAGATGATTTCCACTGCCGCACAACAACTTAAGTCGTCCTTCAACCCAGGACCCCATGGTGTCGCATCAGTATTTCTGAAGAAGCATATCGCCAGCTTGCTGACACCGTTGCAGCATCTATTCCGCATGTCCATTCCGAGTGGTATATTTCCATCTTGTTAGAAATGTGTACATATGTTTCCTCTTCACAAAAAGGGAAACAACGGAACGTGGATAATTACCGTGGAATCACATCGTTGAGCTCAGTTTCGAAGTTATTCGAGTTAGTCATCATGGAGCCCCTGCTCTCTCATTGTAAGCAGTATCTAAGTAGTGATCAGCACGGCTTCATTTTCGGTCGTTCTACTACCACTAATCTACTTTGTCTGGCATCGTATGTCACGGAAAGCATGGCAGAACGGGCTCAAACTGACGTAATTTACACCGACTTGTCGGCTGCATTCAATAAACTGAACCATGCAATTACGAATGCTAAGTTAGATAGACAAGGAGTAAATGGAAACCTCCAACGATGGTTTCGCTCTTATCTCAGTGATCGCCAGTTGATGGTAACCGTTGGTGAATGTCAGTCTGCTACTTACCCAGCCACGTCAGGGATACCTCAAGGAAGTCACCTAGGCCCGTTGATTTTCCTGTTGTACTTTAACGACGTGAATCTGGTCCTCGAAGGCCCTCGTCTATCGTATGGAGATGATCTAAAAATCTATATCCGGATCCGTTCTATCGATGACTGTCACTTCCTCCAATGCCAGCTCGAAGCGTTTGCTAACTGGTCAACTTGAACTTGAATGGAGGTCAACCCCGCGAAGTGTTCAGTTATCACCTTCTCTCGCAAGAAGGAACCGATCATGTTCAATTATGTACTTCAGGAAACAACTATCAGCCGTGTCAACCACGTAAAAGACCTGGGAGTTATTCTGGATTCCCAGTTAACGTATAAGCAACATATCTCGTTCATTGTCGACAAGGCGTCAAGATTTTTGGGATTCATTTTCAGGATTGCAAAGAATTTTTCCGATATATATTGTCTCAAATCGCTATATTGTTCTCTGGTGCGGTCCACCCTGGAATATTGCTCTG